CACCTGAGCCTAGCGAAGACAAATCGCAATCACCCTCAAACAGCTGCGATGGATGTCAAATTGATAAACAAAACAAATCAATGCGTGACTTTCTCGTAACGAATGTAGTTATTAAGTGTTGTTTCGTTTTTGAAAAGCAATTGAAATGCTGTGTTACGCAAATTGCCGCTATTCTCATAACAGTCCCATCTAGATAGGAAATCCACATGATATGGGACTGTTATGCGAATAGCGACAGCAAAGTTATCAGCTACAAATCAAGTTCACCACCTTATTAAGGTGATACGATACAGAGTCCTCAAATGACCGTCAAGATGACTGACATGCACTGCCCATAAAAGCATAATTGTCCCATCTTTGCTTAATTTCCTATTTATATGGAACAGTTATGCTTTTATGAGCAGTGCACTATCAGTTCAGAAAAATCCTCGGATACCATTGTGACTTCGTGTATGAAATGTGCATCACCAAATTTTCTTCACTGCAACAAACGTGGGAAGCAGTTTTATCTTTGTATTGCCGCGGAAACATTTGTATGACAAACTATTAGTATGAGGCTTATTTGTATAATAAAACTCATGCTCATCCATGGTCACACTTATATAGTTTTTGTATAGTGCTCATTATACAAATAATGCTCATGCTCATAGTTTGTCATAAAAGTGTATCCACAGCATATGTCTTTGATACATGATATTTGGGTTCTAGAAATTGTGAAATTGTAATAATAAGATCGATCAGAAAAAAAAGTGTTTCAAACCGTAACACCCTAATAATTTGTAAAAAAATAACAATTGACTTTTCATTAAAAATCCGACGTCCATCCGTTTCGTTCTTCTAGCAAAAAAAATCGATTTTGACAGTTCAAATTCATAACGTTTCCGTCAGACTCAGATGGGCGCTTAAGTGACCTCTCGCTCGGGAAATCAAAAAGCATGACGATCCTGTCCGGGTCATCCTTGACATTCTCCTCGGGAACTCCGTACAAGGTGCGCGGCTCCTGGTATTGATGAGAAGTTGCAGATGTAATGTTCCACCGTGTTTAAAGTGTCACAGGTGTCTCACACCTCCAATGTTGTGGGAGGTTTTGAGGTGTCCTCGGAAATGTTTTTTTTATTATCGGACAGAAATTGTAGAGTTTATAGTTAAACGACGAAAAAATTTAAAAAATTGGTTTTCAATTCTACATTTCCTGAGTAAAGAAAATATCAACAACAAATTTTTTTCTTGTTTGAAAATTTCTTATTTTTCATTGGTAAATATCAGATTGGTATTTCGTACCATTTCTCAATGGCCAACTAATGGCCGCAACTAATCTTTTCCCTATTTAGATTTTATTTTTTATGGATTGCTGAGATAATTTCCTATAAAAGTTTCTTTCTACGATACTTGGTTCCTGAGTTATGAATTTTCAAAGTACCTTCGTGATGACCAGGAAAATTCAAAAACTTCAACTCTAATTTTCCGAAAAAATTTATGAAGGGCAATCTAGGTTACTCTTAACCAGGTCAAAGAAAACCCACCTCTGATATTTAGTGCGTCTGTGCGCTAGATATTCTAAGTCGATTAGTCTGCAACGGCTTGCATAAAGGGTGTGCCGTTTAAAATTCACACACACTCAAATTGCTCTAACTTTTGATCTGTTGGGTAAAATTAATTGAAATTTTGCGTAGACATAGTTTAATGTGTATTGTTTACGCTCTGTGAGTGGATTTCATCAGGTGATAGTTTTCAAAATGGTGACGAAAGAACAGTGCGTGCGGTTAACAAGACCGATCACAAACGCGTGGTTGGGGCCTTTAAACTGAAACCGAACGCCTCAGTTAGAGATGTGGCTAAAAAGTGCCATGTGAGCAAGACTTTCGTATGTTTAAGGTTCAGAAGTCCCCAAACCGTGACGAGAAACTGCTGCGTAATGGATGACGAGACATATGTGAACGTGGACTTCAACCAGATTCCAGGAAACCTGTATGTGACTGTCTAGGATAAGTGTGATGTTCCCGAGAACCTCCGGACACAGAAGATGTCGAAGTTCGCCAAGAAATTCTTAAAATGTACTGCAAGCGATTTTACTTGCGGAAAGCGGAGTACAACTTTCGTTACCGAATGCCAAAGATAATCATAGGATTATTCAGGGAAATCCTGAAAGCATCTATGAAAGACACCTGGGATTATTATAAGGAAATTCTTGAAAAACTTCCATAGATGTCCTAAGAGAAGCTATTTTCTAGAAATTTAGGAATTAGATACAATAACGGCTTGAAATTCCCTAATATTAGGCCCATACGTAAATATCGAAGGAAAGCATTATTTTACATTGTTTTTCAATAGCAACCAAAAATATTCATTTGTATTGTCCAGATGACACATTTTTTTAAGACAAATGAAAGAGCTTGACATTTTTATTGATGGGCCCAATCTTTAGATCCTTAGGCCAACATAAGATCAATTTTTCCTATATCTACATTTGTTAAAGCCCAGAAATTTAAGATTCAGGATTCGGTAGATAGCTGTTAAGATATCAGCTTACAAAATCATTATGATCCCGGTCTAAGGAAACTCATCGAAGGGGAAAGTCTCATTAGCACTTCACAAGTCGAGCCCAACATTAATAGCCTGATCGACAAAACCACCTTAGGCCGTCGAAAAAAAATGAGACCAAGAATTTTTTATAAAGGAAAATAAAGTCGTTAAGGTTCTGAAAAGTAGAAAAGTGCACATCAGTTTACATACAGAGGTATTACAAAGTACATAAAACAGTAAAAATATATGCAAAAGTATGTTGAGATTGCTTACTTTACTGATTAATCAATCGACTCCCGAATCTACCAGTTTTCCCGAATGGATGCTCGGCATAAGCGATCAATGATTCCATCGAATGTGCTTACGCGAGGCAATCGGATAGAACGGATCAAGGATGAGAATAATATTGAGCTACACCTGCAGTCGCTGACGGTGAGATTTGGCACATCTACCATTAGCCGGTGCCCCATAACTAAACATGGACTGCTTGATAGATTTGAAAACTGGCATTTTGATTCAAGCGCACAAAGCACAGTAATAGCGAATTGATGTATTATTCAGTTCCAACCTGGATCAAGCTTGGGTCTGTTTGTTTTCTGACAAACGCCAGTTTGATCATTTGTTTTTTAAATCTACCTCAGGTTGACAAAAAGTTCGGTTCACACTGGGGTGCAAAATGGAACTTGTTCCAACCCCGATAAAAAACGAATTCGCAATTAGATTTGTCCAGCTTGCTGATAACGAGCTTGATGTGTTTGTCGAACTTGAATTTAGTGTCCAGCTCAATACCAAGATACTTGACGTCATCCACCCAAGGTGTTCGTTGCCCGTTGGTCTCAATATCTCAATATTCTTGGTGAAGAAAATGACATTAATTTGGATCCTCAATTTTTTTCTGGTATTCCTCGAATTGCTTCTGAGCATGCTGCAATTTATTCATAACTATCTCAGGATCAGAGTCAGAGGAGAAAGAAGCAGTATCATTGAAAAAGAATACGTAAGAAACTCGATTGCATCTGTTGGTTTTGATGGCGGACGTTAACGTTAGTTTATCGTTTGTTCTTGTAACGTGTATCGTGTCGAGATTTGGTCTGATAAAAAGTTTGAGTTGGAACTGGGTTCAATTTTTATATTTGTAATTTATTTCTAGCTTTAACGAAAACCTGGCTGTTGTAGAACTTTATATCAAATCAAGTCAAAGATAATATTATCTATGCAATCGATGGCATTGCAATGTCCGAGCTAAAATCCAAAAATTTGTCATGCTTGTGTGACTCCTTATCCAAATGACCAACGGATTTAACACTTTCCCTCTTGATGCATGTGCTGCTGATGGGATGGCTAGACAGCAAAGGAGAAAAAAAAATATCTCCAGCACGGCATTGGAAAGCAATGATCCTATGGACGGATCCGGACAGCGCAACACGCAATCCGTTACTACTAACACACTAGTGCGCATACCACTACCCAACCCAACCTTTTTGCACTAATATGAGTGCACTAACGACTGTGCTATACCATACTCGGGCATTGTTGGCTGTCAGGCTGAACTCGATACTGGAGTGAGTCAGGACTCTGCACATCCAAACACATTCACTCTACAATCTTCATCGGATTCGAATCGAGCGAAGTGTTGACGCGGAGTGGGTGGGTGGGTGATTTGAGAGGAGACTGCACACCAGCTTCTCGAAAATTTTGCACAACTCCCATGCCAAGTGCGCCGTTGCCATGTAGGTACAATCAACACTACCTACATACTAGATAGATGTACAAGGTTGGCTGGTAAGCTGTATCGTAGTATGTGTGCAAGCTAACTGTACTGTAGTAGGCGCATATCGCGAAACTGTGCGGTAGTGGTTGTACTAGTAGAATAGTGCTGTAGTAGTAAGTACGTGCATTCATCCCGACGACTCAACGAGTCTCCATTCATTCCGCTTGTTGCCTTGTCACTGCCGCTGTATTGGACCGTTTTTCACTTGTATGCGCGCAAAGAATAAAAGGAAGAAAAAATCCTACGAAAATTCACCCAAACGCCATTTTGAAAGTAGGGCGAACCGGCAAATTTTTAATCGATGTTTCCACACCACCAGATTACGGACTAATCAACCGGCCGGATTAACAGATGGCGAGATAATTCCTTTATCTGTTACCGAGCACTGCAGTCGCATTTGCCGGATGATTAATGTCTAGGCCATGTCATTGCTTCATTTGGCCTTAGTAGTGTCGGCGAATGAGTCAGCGTGGTATCGAGACATTGGTCACACCCTTGAACTTTTTTTTCCTTCCACATCACAACTACCCGACTAAAGTTGATAGGGACGTTTTCCTTGAACAAAAAATGCAAAACCCTCTCTAAAACGTCCTAAACCGTGAGGGCGTTTCTGCTAGAGATAACCGAGGTCAACGGCACGCAACGTCTGAGTTGACCAAGGAGAAGCAAAAGATATCAAGACAATGTAAAAGTGACAGATACTTACTTCGAATCCTTCTGATTTGGCCCAAATTCCACCGTCATGACCGGCGATGGCCGCTTTCGATACACACTGGGAAGCCAGGAGCTGATTGTCAACATAATCCTGCCAGCTCATTCTGTGATTCTTTTCTTCTTCCTGGTGTTACTTAAAAAGGAAATTTGTCACTTCTACGAGTGTTGCTACTCAAAACCGAGCAAATTTGCTTAAACTGGAAAATCGAAGAAAGAAATATTCTCTGTAAAAATAGCTTCTTTTCACACGCTGTTCAAGAAAATCCTTTCGCCGAAATTCAACACACACGCACACGATTTTCACGTCCAAAAATACTCTGGAAGAAATATATTTTTTCACGACGAATTCGCGACGACTGAACTGAAATCTGCCGCTAGTCTTGTTTTACGACAAGTAGAAGACTGAAAAAAAAACTTGCCACCGCTATACTTCGAAAAGATGATTATACAAATACGAATACACTCGCAGCAGTACAAGAGACCTCTTGCTATGCGCTAACCGAATACAGACAAACTGTAAAAGGAAAAAAAAAAATCCTAGCCCCCTATCAAGGCGTATAATATTGCACCGGTATTCCAGACAAAAAAAAACGAAAAAACTACGCGGATCTGGACATTTTCTGTGCGTGAAAAACCCGAAATTTAAATCACTATCCAAAATCCGACAAACCAGCGCAACAAAAATCTTCCAACACTCACTTTTTATGTTGTATAGAGGGAGGAAAAAGTTGGGACCTGAGTGCTTCGCTTTTGCTCTTCAATGGCACACGGGGTGAATTAACACAAACGATTGATGGCGACCGACGAGATGCAGAACTGTCCAAGTCCGAAAACCGTTTTGCTTCGATCGACTCTTGCTCGAGAGTTCTCCCTCTCTCTCTCTTAAAGAGAACGGTTGGAATGCTGCCGTTCCTTTTCGACGCAAGCGAAATAGTGCACCTATCACGCTCTCTCACTCGAGTTGCTCTCACCGTATGCGGCATAACAGAGAGGACGAGTCTAACCGGAAATGAGTAATCTGAATGTTGAATGGAAACATGGCCGACACCGCAGCTAACTTCACAAAGGTGCTAAGCTTTTTGCTCGCATGAGCTTTTTTATGCTACCGTGTCGTCGCGTAGCTGCGCCAAGGGGGTTTAGTAAACGCAAACATAAATATTTACACTAGTATCTAAAATTTTCCGAAAATACCGAGGTAATTGTAATTGGGTTTTTTTATTTTGAAAAATACCCACACAAACAACGAAAATTGTATTAATAAAAATAATGCATTTTCAAATTAAAAGTTTCCCAAAATTAGTAGTTTTAACAGCAAAAATATTAAAAATAAAAGTGAGCTTATTAAATTGAAAGTTTTTCTTTTAATTTTGACTCGTGGTTTTAAAAGTACAAATTTTTTAAACAAAAGTTATATAACTGTCAAAAATATCCATTCAGCGATGTTTTACTGGCTGCACTGACGTCTCATATGCCGCCTTTTCTGCTAATCTGGCCGCTTTGAACATCCAAATCAGAAGTTACAAGAGTCATGATTATTTTATGGGATACCAGAAACTGAACTTTTCTTCGTTGGATATTCCGACATTATTTGCTGCTACGTAGAGACCCACTTGGAATTGGCATTCCAAATCTAGTTCCAAATGGTAAGTACATTATTTTCATTGTTATTTTATTGGATTTTAGATTCTTTTTTATATCATACTATTCTATCAACCAGGACGACGTCACGACAGTTTTCAGAATCGACCGTATCAAATTCCTGTCGGAGAAGAATCAAGCCCTACAGCATAATAACGAGAATCCGTCACCAGTTGGTACATTCTGATGTTGCGGCATAGGATTTTATACGTCTGTAGCGCTCGGTACTGGATTCATCGGATTACGAAATGCAAAACCGAGTGCAAAACAATGCCAAGATTGCCTTGCCAGTGTCCGGATTATGTGTTCCTCGTATCGACCTTCACTTGCCGGAATATCTATCTGTGTCGCTCCGTGAATCTCGTTGCAAAACGCTTAATTAGTTGTAAAGAAATTAAGTAATAAACAAATATATTTTTTTAAGTATTTACTAATTTTCAAAACCTTAAACTAAATATTATTTAGAATTTAAAATGAATACAAGATGTTATTACGGTGCAAATGCGTACTTTTAATTTTAAATTTTGTTTTTCCTATCCAAAATGTTACTTATCGTTTTAACTATATCATATTTTAAATCAAAACTCTGTTTTGAATTGAAAAGAAACCAATTTTAATGCCATCACTGCCGTGCTTTAAATTTGACAGTAATACAATTTATTTTGAAAGTTTTAGCTTTTAAAAGTTGTGAGCGGACAACTTTTGATTTAACAGTTTGCTGACTTTTGTTTTGAAAGCTAACCCGCATAAACGCGAACCATAAATTGACCTTACCTAAAATGGTTAAAAATTGTTTATAATCCCTGCTAAACTTTAACTGAAATGGTTATGGAACTTTACATGAACGTTTAATGATAAAGTTTCAACCTTATGTATTATGGTTTTTTGGAACTGGACCTTACAAATAATGGGTTTTTTTTTTTTATCTAGTTCGTTTATTTGGAAGGCTCAATCGCGTTAGCTTTACGGAGCCGATAATTCATTGTTCACTGTGTGTAACAAGATTCACTTAATTCTATGTCTAGTAGGAGTTGGGCCGATTACTCGCGGCTTACTCGAGGTTAGAAGGGTACATTTTCGAAGGATAGGATCAGGGGAGGAGCTTGGGGTAGGGTTTCGTTGTCTCATCAGAGCGTTGTCGCCAGTATGAACGGTAGTGCTGTTCTAGCTTCGTCCGGAGTTCGACCGGCTATGGTGGGTGACCAGTGGGCGACGATGAGACTCATCGAGACGGGGGGACAAGACAAACAAAAACTAATAAAGAGAGACAAAAGACAAAAGGAATTAAATTCTTATACTAGACATTTGAAGAAAAACATAAACGGACTGCATATAGCAGAGATCACGGGTTGCCAACACGTCTCTGATAGGAACATAGGGTTGTCTTCCTTGGGCCTCGAGGGTATTCAAAAGTCGCTCTCTGGCGGCGTCATTATCCGTACATTGCCAAACTGCGTGTTCGATGTCATCGTAACCGTTTCCACACCGACAGATGTTGCTGTCCACGAGGTTTATTCTATTGAGATGAGCATCTAGCGAGTAGTGGTTGGACATAAGTCTACTCATCACGCGAATGAAGTCACGACTTAAGCCCAAGCCTTTAAACCACGCTCTCGAAGAAACATTAGGAATAATTGAGTGTAACCACCGTCCAAGATTTCCAGTGTCCCAATCGGTTTGCCAACTCGAAAAGGTACTCTGACGCACTAAATGGTAAAATTCATCGTGTGAAATTTGCCTGTCATACATTCGCCTTCCTGCGCGCCCACCTTTGCGAGAGAGTCCGCCTTCTCATTGCCTGGGATTGAGCAATGTGAGGGGACCCATACAAAGGTAATCATATATGATCTTTCGACCAGCACACACATCTGCTCCCTTACCTTTGAAAGGAAATAAGATGAGTGCCTACCTTGTTTCATCGACCGAATAGCCTCAATCGAACTGAGACTATCCGAGAAGATGAAGTAATGGTCTGCGGGCATGTTGGAAATCATCCCCAATGCGAAGTTGATTGCTGCCAGCTCAGCAACAAAAACGGAACAAGGTTCCTGAAGTTTGCGGAAGGCGCTAGAGTTTTCATTGAAGACACCGAAGCCAGTGGATCCATTGAGACGTGACCCGTCTGTAAAATATCTTTTGACGCAATTGACGTGTTGGTACTTTTCAGTAAAAATACGCGGGATAATAATAGTTCGAAGTTGATCTGGAATCCCATGAATCACTTGTTTCATGTACAGATCATATTCAATTGAGGAACTGCGATTGGTGAAGTGAGCACGGTCTGGAGTATAACAAGGAAGACACATATCCGACGATATGTAGTGGTGGTAGATTCTCATAAATCGAGATTGTGTGTTCAGCCCAAGAATTTCTTCAAAATTAGCAATTATAAGTGTGTTCGTCACTCCGCATTTGATTAGTATTCTGAGAGAGAGCTCCCAGAAACGGTTCTGGAGGGGTGTTACTCCTGCCAGAACCTCGAGACTCATGTTATGCGTTGAGTGCATACAGCCTAGAGCAATACGCAGACAACGATATTGAATTCGTTCCAATTTTATTAGGTGACTTTTTCTTGCCGAGAGAAAGCAGAAAGAGCCGTACTCTAGAACAGAGAGAATAGTTGTTTTATAAAGCGTTATGAGGTCTCCCGGATGAGCACCCCACCATGTGCCGCAAATTGAACGGAGAAAGTTGATCCTCTGCTGACATTTTTGCTTCAAATACGTAATATGAGCATTCCAAGTGCACTTTGAATCAAACCAGACCCCAAGGTACTTGAAAGACAATGATTGGGTAATGTTTCTGCCCAAAAGATTAAGCTGCATTTGGGCTGGGTACCGCTTTCGAGTAAACACTACCAGTTCAGTTTTCTGCGGCGAGAATTCGATCCCTAGATTCATAGCCCAAGAAGACAAGTTATCTAAGGAGTTTTGCAATGGTCCTTGCAAGTCCACGGCATGTGGACCTCTTACGGAAACCACACCGTCATCTGCAAGTTGTCTTAGCGTGCATTGTTCTGCCAAACAGTTGTCGATATCTTTGACGTAAAAGTTATAAAGAAGAGGGCTGAGACATGAGCCTTGGGGCAGGCCCATGTAGCTAATTCTGGAAGTTGTCAGTTGTCCAAGGGAAAAGTTCATTTGCTTTTCTGACAACAAATTGTACAAGAAATTATTTAAAATTCCAGAAAGTCCACATCTGTGCAGATTGTCTGACAGAATTTCAATGGAAACTGAATCAAAAGCCCCCTTAATGTCCAAGAATACTGAAGCCAATTGCTCCTTGTGTGCAAAGGCCAGTTGAATATCTGTGGAAAGCAGCGCTAGACAATCGTTTGTTCCTTTGCTCTTGCGGAACCCAAACTGTGTATTTGATAGCAAGTTATTTGATTCGACCCAGTGATCGAGTCTCCGAAGGATCATTTTCTCCAACAATTTCCTAATGCACGAAAGCATAGCAATCGGACGGTATGAGTTATGGTCAGACGCTGATTTGCCAGGTTTTTTAATGGCTATTACTTTGACCTGTCTCCATTCAGGCGGTACAATGTTGTTTTCTAGCAAGGAATTGAATAAATCTAGCAAGCGTCTTTTAGCGATATCTGGGAGATTTTTCAGAAGATTGAATTTAATCATATCGCTTCCCGGTGAGGAGTTGTTCGATGAAAGAAGAGCCATAGAGAAATCCAGCATTGAGAATGGTCTATCCAGAGAGCCGCCGCTAGGAGACGCTTCTCGAAGAATATTTTGTGCTGGAACTGAGTCCGGACAGACCTTTTTAGCGAAATCGAATATCCATCGGTTGGAGTATTCTTCACTCTCATTGAAAGATGAGCGGTTACGCATGTTGCGAGCCACCCTCCACAAGGTGTTCATTGAGGTTTCTCGTGAGAGTCCCTCGACGAAATTGCGCCAATAACCGCGTTTTTTTGCTTTGATTAATTGTTTCAGCTTTGTCTCAAGCTTTGAATATTCCTCGAAGTAAGTGGAGGTTTTGTGTCTACGAAAAGCTTTGAAAGCATCAGATTTTTCTACATACAATTTTGTGCATTCTTCGTCCCAACCAGGTGTGGCTGGTCTCCTTTTAAAGGGTGCACTTGGAACTTTTCTTTTTTGTGCTTCCAGTGAGCTTTTGTAAATCAAATCGGCTAGGAATCGATATTCTTCCAATGGTGGAAGC